TCTAATTGAACAGTCTACACAGGCAGCCCAAGCTCACTACGAGAAAAGCGGACGTGACTCTTACCGTGTTGCGTAACGTTTTATATTTATAAAGGTTTGTATGGGATGTTATCGGTTTGCCTTAAAAGAGAGAAAAAAATGTCTTGTTTTGAAATAAAATGGGCTCACCTTATTGCCTTATTGTTTTCTTTGTTGATTCCGAGCGTCTCAGGCCATTTTGAAGCGTTTTCGGCGAGTTAGCTAATTTATCCCAACTTGGAAGCAGTTCCACAGTAACAAATTTAATGCTGGAAAGTGGTAGAAGAAGTGCAAGTCTCATTATTATTTACTATTACTATAATAATAGCTAATTTTTTTAAACCGCAGTTATATCAGATTTATTTTTCATGTTAATTTTGTTGTTTTAATTTTTTTTGGCTTTCTTTTTTTGGCTTCCGTTTTAGAAATCCTCTGACACACCAATATTGTTGAACCTTAACCAAATGAAGGTGGCCAAAAAAGTGATCTTTGGAGTTTGTAAAGTAAACATGGATGTGAAAAAAGATGCCTTCTCCTTTACAAGGTTATCAGGTGGATTTGTTTCCTGTTTTGGAGTTGATTGTCTGCGAGCAAAGGCTGCATAATGTGTGCTCACCAACTCTCAAACCTCTGATGAAGATAGATGGAAGACCCTTTTGCGGTAAATACTGACTGTCAGGTTTAAGTGTGCTGCCATAAATTATAAAACAATACCTTATCTCGGATTAAATGTGTGGTTCTGCATAATTTTTGTTCCCATGAATGAGAATGAAATAATAACCATTTCTATTATCATTTTTTTATGATCAGGTTGAAATCAGGTGTTGGTAGGTCTGGTTCCCTGTCTCAACCCTGTTTACAACATACAGAGTGCAAAATCTGTTTACCCACTGGCCATTGCCAATTGTAAAGAAAACAGGTTCATCATTAATTTCTATTATTTTATGTTACTAAAATACTTTTCCTCCTTTGCTTGATGTGGTCACAAAGTTTTTAATTTGCATAGTAGAGACACTTTCTTATAAAGCTTTCCTTAGTGAAAGCTTATAGTTTTATACAACATATGTTACAGTTTTCATTGTTGTATTGTTGACTCAATTTCCAGTACTGGCTCTAAGATCTGACAAATGTAATACACACACACACACACACACACACACACACACACACACACACACACACACACACACACACACATTATGAATTAAACAGAAAGAGGAAAAAAACTGCAAATCCTTTTGCATTATAAGAACATTACCCCAGCATAAGCTCTGAATAAACAACAAGTTTCATTGGTTGTCTTCATGCCTATTGTTATCTTGATAGGGAAAGCCTGAAAGTACTTTTAAAGGATGTAAATGAACAAAAGAGAATCATCAAGAACCAAGGAATTTTTGTTGATGGCATGAAGTTCAATGTAGAATTTGAGGGTAAGATGTTTCTATCATTTTGTTGCATAAAGGTTATTTGCAAGAACATTAACCTTAATCTTTTTAAAAAGGAGGATGCTGACTTTCTTTTTAGAAACTTAATTGAGGTTTTTTTTTTTTCATGATCAGTGATCATTATTTTAAACAATAAGTTAATTTTCTACATGTATGTCATATCATAATTCTTTTTTGCTGTTGTTTCTTTGTCATATCTTAGCTTCATTGGACTACAAAACACTGATCCTTCTTTTGGTAAAGAAAGGGGATCTTGATTTTCAACTTGGTGGTCGAGGGGTAGATGTAGAATTCTGCTTTATATGCAATGCAATCAGGGTTAGTATTTGTGTTGGTGTACATGTGGATCAATGAGCATTTCTTAGTTGTAGTTCATCAGTTACAATATACAAGCTACAGTCTTCTCTAATAATGCAACCAAAAAATTTTGTAAGATAATATTAATTTATTTTGAGGTAATTTCATTTCCCATTAGGGTTGCAAATGTCATGAAGTGGCCCCAGATGAAACCTGCCTAGAATGCCTACGAAGCAAGTGTAACATAGGCAGGTATACTTTAAGTTTAGCCATTCATGATCATTAAATAATGCACAGGCTTAT